AAAAAAAAAAAAAAAACCGTTAAAACACCAAAGCGTGCTGTCTTGCTTAATATATATTTCATCACACCTGTGTCACGTAACAATCGAAACACTGATCTTTGTTTCATCATAATTGTGTCTATGTAGCTTTCTGTCGATATACATAAATTTGCATGTTGGGAACAAAATTAAAAAAAAAAATCGAGCATGTTAAACATATTATATTGACAATAAACAAAAATATTATGTCTAATCTGCTTGTTGAATTTACAAAATCTTGTAATCCAGAGGACACAAACAATATTTTTTTTAATTAATTCATGATACGAATGTTAATGTCTATTAAAAAAAATTATGTTTTTGAGTCAAACTCTTAGAATAATAAAATTTTATAATTTTTCTTGAATAAGTAACGTATAGAAAAAATTCACATAAAAACGGGTTAAAGAATTCAAAAGCATACTTAAAGACATTGGGCTTCTATAAACGGTATTATTAGTTAAAATTTTAGTAATTTTATTAAATCAAAGTGTATCGTTACATTACATTTAACTGCAATAATTCTGGGAAGAGTTAACATAATCAACAATAAAACGTAGAAAATCAGTATATTTTTCACAATTTATTGTAATTTTTCAACACTTACTTTTTTTTATAAGCATTAAAATTTACTAATAGTTCCAAGCTTACCGCGAGCTTTGCAGTGTTGCTTGATAAACAAAAACAAAACGTACAATTTTTTTATACAGTACGATTAATTATTTTTTGTTTTTTTCTAATAGCAAGCAAATAATTTAGTTAGATAACGTGATAAAATATGTCAATCAAGTTGCTATTATCGGTGTATGCTTCATCGCTTATTTTTCTTCACGCCTTATTATCTTTAAGTGCGCTTTTACAAATGATACCTAAAAGCACCAATATAATGCAAATTGCTTCCGAGTTGTGACGTCTCTTTTTTCAATCACATGATGATTAGATAAAAAAAAAAAACCAGTGTTAATTTGCGACGAATTCTAGTTAAGATGCAACCAAAAAAGAAAAATTTTAAATGGTATAAAATCAAAAAAAACTCCAATTTTCTTCTCCACGACGGACTTTCTTTGACACATATCTATATCCCTCAATTCAAATATACACCAAACAAATACATAGAAAAAAAATACAGTCAAAGCAGGGACCACGTGATTGTGTCTGAGCTCGGAACCACGATTTTGCATGGAGCAAAAGTCCATCGTCGTTCTACTACCGACTCGGTTGGCTCGTTATCCTTCCTTCCCCCCCCCCGCCCCCCCACCCCAAACCTCACTGTAATATTTATAGAAGCTATTGCTTAAGTGCATAAAAATCCAAGCGTTTCAAGGAAAACAGCAAGAAGCACGACTACTAGATATGAGCACACGATTACTAGACCTAGTACTTGTATCTCCTCTTTTTACTTGAAACACTCCATGACCACTTGAAAAAAAAAAAAAAAAAAAAAAACTCTACCTTTATCCGAAAAATCAAATATAATTCGTTCCATCTGACGATTTTCAAAAGCATCTTTCAAGCAACAGCTAAGACACCCGAAATACCGTCCCACCCTCTCCGAAGTCACGTCCACGGAGTCGTTAGCTGAGCGACGCTTCCATGCCAGCTATAAGCGAGTCCTCAATTTCCGGATGCTCTCCTAGAGCCGAGCTTGCTGGTTCTATAGTGCATCATTGCATAATTATTGTTCCTTATTTTCAACTATATACATTCGTCACTTTTTTTTTTTTTTTTTTTTTTTTTTTTTTTTCCAGTAAAATTTTTGTTTTTACATCACATAGTTTATCCACACAGTTGACGCAGCATATACACCTGCTCCTGTAAACTTTGCCGGTGCGCTCCATCACCCATCGAATCCATAAATAAACAAGCAAATATTAACGCGTATTAATCAATAAAAAAACCTCGGAAATTATTTTTTCTTTCGGCGGTGGAGGGATAGAAGATGTACTTATGATACACACAAACTTTGAGGGTAAAATACATATGTATATATGCTTAGGTATCGTGTATAGCCTTTGTTCTCGTGGTTCGAGGCCTGAAAAATTTTTAATACATACACACACACATCCCAGAGCCGACTCGCGTCTTTGATTAAAGAGCGACACACCGCGGCGGGTGGCGGTTCATCCTCGAAGCAGATTTATTGTGTACGTAGGCAGAGCGTATTGTATTTCGCGTATATATACGAAAGAAAAGGGGGGGGGGGAAAGCTCGACGGGCCATTTTGCCATCGCGAGGAGGAGGAGAGGAAGAATCTCATCAGCGACGGGAGCCAAATGTTGCGGAAAACAATGCGAGGCGACCCCCCCCCCTCCTCTTTTTCAACCATCATCTCTGTTTTCACCTTCCGCTCATTGTCTCCCTCTCCTTCCGTTGCAGCGCAGTTTCGGATTTTCCGTGTGTCTCTGTGCGTCTAATGAAAATGCAGTTTTTTCTCTCTTACTCCTCGACCTCTTTGTCATTGTACACACTTTTTTTTTTTTTTTTTTTCCCTCCGTT